GTGTGGCTGCAGCCCCGCAAAAAAAAAAAAAAAAAAAAAAAATGTTTATTGTTTTCCACCCTTTTCCCCGCCTCTCACCTTCTTTTATTTTCCCCACCCACAAAAAAATACAAACAAACAAGTGCACACACACACACACAGATAGAGAAAGAGAGAGAAAGGGCAGCGGCCACGTGGAATAACGCACCGCCCAACCTCTAAACTCCATCAGCCCCTTAACTCCCTCGTACGTCTTGCGCGCATGCAGGGAGTTGCCACGGCCCCGTTTTATTTCATTGAATTTATCGCGTTTGTTTTTGTTTTTGTTCCCCACCCCCCTTCCCTCTCTCTCTCTCTTTCTCACTCTCTCTCTCTGTGTGTGTGTGTGTGTGCACTTGTTTGTTTTTATTTGTTTTATTTGTTTGGGGGTGGGGTGTTCTTCTATTGCCTTCTTACATTTTGAAGGCAAACACTCTGCTTCCCTTCCTTCTGCCCACCCCATCCCTCCCTCGTTAAATTCTTTCCTCCTCCTCCTCCTCCTTCTTCTTGTTTTGATTTACCTCATGTCTTTATATCCGTCAGCAATATGTATTATTAACAACTTCTTTTTCAAATTATTTCTTTTTTCTTTTTTTCTTTTTTTGATTTTTTTTTTTCTTTTTTTCTCCTGCACGATTCTTTGATGGATTCGTTGGCTTCTCGTTCCTGCGCCCCGCTCCCTCCTGTGCGTCTGTGCGTCTGTGTGCATCATGTGATCCCCGCCAGCCACCGCGTTTGGGGGTCTTTTCCTGCACTCTTCCACCGGATCCCACTCTCGCAGGAAGACACGTTCACGGGGAGAGACACACACACACACACACAGAGTGAGTGAGAGGGATGGAGAGGGAGAGAGGCGTGGGCCACACACAAGCTTGCACAGAGGGAGAGCGTAAAAGAAGAGCAATCGAAAACACACACGTACGCTCTTACCGTTTTTTTTTTTTTTTTAATGTCGCCAACGAGATTTCTCCTTGTCCAACTTCACTTAATTGCAGTTTTTCTTTTCTTTTTTTTCTTCATTCTCTCTTCTACATATCTGCGGGGGGTGACCACAGGACATCGGGTGTAACCAACAAACAGCACAGGGAAAAACAGGAACAAGAAACCAAAAAAAAAAAAAAAAATAAATAATACACAAGTTCACATCCACCAATAA